CGCTTTCACCCTCCCTGAAGCAATTGGGGTCGAGGGCGAAGAGGTGGCACAGCTCTGCTCCTGCCCTGCCTGCGCTCTTATTCACCATCCCCCACCGTGACGTGGTTTCCCTTCGAGAAGTAAGACGTTGCTCTTGTTTGCGACCCACAGCAGGATGTGCCGCCAGAAGAACGAAGGAAGAGCCAAACCTGGAGCGCGAAAGCGCTGAGCGAGGGGGAGGGCACGGCGTGGCGGCAGCGAAACGGGAAGGAAACGTTTCGGAGAGCCCTCGGTGGGAGGCAGCTCCCGAGAACGAGACGGGGCCAGAAGGGGGTAAACTCGTCCCTCGTGGAGGAAACCAAAAGGTCCTCAAAGAATCCAAAGGCCAGTACAGAACCGCCACCGGGGAGAAGAAGTACACGTGCAACGAGTGTGGAAGAAGCTTTGGACAGAGCTCCAACCTCATCGTGCATCGGCGGATCCACACCGGAGAGAAACCTTATAAATGCCACGAATGCGGGAAGTGCTTCAGGCAGAGCTCGAACCTCATCGTCCACCAGAAGACTCACACGGGAGAAAAGCTCTACGAGTGCCCCAAGTGCCAGAAGTGCTTCCCAGACAGGTCGCTGCTCATCAGGCACAAGAGGGTCCACGTAGGAGAAAAACCTTTTAAATGCCAGCAGTGTGGGAAAAGCTTCATTCACCGATCGAGACTTCTCGTCCATGAGAAGGTGCACGTAGGGGAACAACTCTACCAGTGTCCCGAGTGTGGGAAATGCTTCAGGGACAAACCAAAGTTCCTCCAGCATCAGCGGCGGCACGTGGGGGAGCGGCGCTACAAGTGCTACGAGTGCGGGGAGGAGTTTGGGCAGAGCTCGGACCTCAACCTCCACCAGAGGATCCACGTGGAGGAGAAGCTCTACCAGTGCTCCACGTGCGAGAAGTGCTTCAAGGACAGGTCCACCCTCATCAGGCACGAGACGGTGCACACGGGAGAGAAACCCTATAAATGCCACGAGTGCGGGAAGAGGTTCACCCGCAGCTCGGACATCATCGTCCATCAGCGGACGCACACGGGGGAGAAACCCTTCCAGTGTCCCGAGTGCGGGAAGAGCTTCAGCCACCGGTCAAATCTTTTCCGACACCAGAGGATGCACACGGGGGAGAAGCCGTATAAGTGCGAAGAGTGCGGGAAGCGATTTGGGCAAAGCTCAGAGCTTATCGTCCACCAGCGGACCCACACCGGGGAGAAACCCTACCACTGCTCCGAGTGCGAGAAGTTCTTCAGGGGGAGGTCAACCCTCTTCAGGCACGAGAGGCTGCACACCGGGATCAAGCCGTACGAGTGCAGCGAGTGCGGGAAAAGCTTCGGGCAGAGCGGGGACCTCATCGCACATCAGCGTTTCCATACGGGCGAGAAGCCCTACCAGTGCTCCCAGTGCCGAAAGTTCTTCAGCAACAGGTCCAGCCTCGTGCGGCATCAGCGGCTGCACGCGGGGGAGAAGCCCTACAAGTGCCACGAGTGCGGGAAGAGCTTCGGGCAGAGCTCGGACCTCATCGCCCACCAGCGGACCCACACCGGGGAGAAGCCCTACCCCTGCCCGGTCTGCGGGAAGAGCTTCAGCAGGAGATCCAACCTCATCGTGCACCAGAGGGTGCACAGAGGGCTTTGCAAGTGCCAGAAATGCGGGAGAAGCTTCCAGCCCAACTCACGTTTTGGCGTGACGGCAGGGAAGGACTCTCTCCAGTGCCCCCAGTGTGCAGGGGGTTTCAAGGAGGGGTCAAACCCCATCGAACACCAGAGATAACACCGGGGAGAAACGGCTCCCTGCTCGGAGCAGGGAAGGAGTTTTGGGAAGAGTTGCGAGGTCGTATATGAAAGAGAAAAAAAATCAGCGCTTCTCCTAGGTAAAAATTCCTCAGTTTTAAAGACTGCAAAAGCGGGGGGGGAAAAAAAAAACCCCAAACACCCCATGCAAATGACCTAAAGTAGGCTGCTCCGTAAATAATAGACTGTTGGGGGTTTTTTTGCTAATTATTTCCTCTTATTATTGAGTTTGCTCAAAGGGCTTGATGTGTCGGGCCACGATCCACTCGCTCCCAGTCGAACACTAGAGATAACACCGGGGAGAAACGGCTCCCTGCTCGGAGCAGGGAAGGAGTTTTGGGAAGAGTTGCGAGGTCGTATATAAGAGAAAAAAAATCAGCGCTTCTCCTAGGTAAAAATTCCTCAGTTTTAAAGACTGCAAAAGCGGGGGGAAAAAAAAAAAACCCCAAACGAACACTAGAGATAACACCGGGGTGAAACGGCTCCCTGCTCGGAGCAGGGAAGGAGTTTTGGGAAGAGTTGCGAGGTCGTATATGAAAGAGAAAAAAAATCAGCGCTTCTCCTAGGTAAAAATTCCTCAGTTTTAAAGACTGCAAAAGCGGGGGGGGAAAAAAAAAACCCCAAACACCCCATGCAAATGACCTAAAGTAGGCTGCTCCGTAAATAATAGACTGTTGGGGGTTTTTTTGCTAATTATTTCCTCTTATTATTGAGTTTGCTCAAAGGGCTTGATGTGTCGGGCCACGATCCACTCGCTCCCAGTCAAAACCGTCTGCTGTTTCAGGCTGCCCGTCATCCCATCGTCTGTCTTTAAAGCCCTTCCTTAAATCCTTTGTCGTTTTCCAGGCTGGGTACCCATCAGCACCCCAAAGATACCGTAGGAATCTCTCTTCCCCTGCACATCCTTCCCTCCCCCTTGTATGTATGCAACCTCAATAAAAAAAGGCCCGCTGTTCCTAAGGAATAATCACGTTTTCCTTGTATTTTTCTGCCAGCTAAACAGCTTTACGTTACATTTTTATTTGCTCCTCCGTGGCGGGGAGAAGTTACTGCTGTTAAAAAGCGAAGAGGGGAAAATTGCAAAGAGCTTCGTAAAGATGTTGGTGACCGGGGGACGGGAGCTGACTGTTCATAACCTAAGAGAAAACGGGGAGAAGTTGGTGAAACCACGATTGCAGTGTCCGGAAACTAGCCCGGGGCCAGGCCTCGTCCCTTCCAGCTCTGCATCCTAGAGGAAAGCAAATTTGGGGGAAATCACACTTTCCCAACAGGTTTTTGGAGCGGGGTTGGTTTGGGGGGGGGGGTTTTGAGGGAGTAGGGTGGGTTTTTCTTGTTCCTGAGCTGGGGTTGAGCTTGGAAGCTGCTCAGATTTGGTTAGTGGAGCCAGAACAAGCCTTGATGCAGGAAACTCCCAACTAAAGCCCGACCACGACTGGGGAAACGGGTCTCTTTGGCCGGACGGTTCCTGCCTTGGTTTCCAGAAGAGCCAGCATCTGCTTGGCTTTGCTGCGCTAGACACAGGCTCGCAGGGGTGAAGGAGACCTGCAAGTCCCTTACCAGGCTTCTAGGCCCTAGCATGAGAAGGTCCGCAGCCACTGGGCTGCTCCAGGTATTCCACGAAGAGCTTGGCTCTTCGGCTTCGGCTTCCTCTTCCCTTTCCTCCTCTTCGTGCGGTGGGACCTACCTCCCACTCCCTTTCATCTCCTTATCTCCCCCTTTTCCTCCAAAGACTTACAGCTGCCCGTGGTGGCCGCCACGGCAAAGATCTGCGGGGACACCGTGGAAACGGTATCGCCTCTGCTTGCCGGGGTGGTTGTTTCCACCTTTCACTTCGACTTTCTGACCCTAAATCAGCACTAATCTCTGACGTGTTTAGCCCCGAGATGGTCCATTGGGGCGGCCGGTGTGTCACTGACAGCCAAAAGTGGGTGGCTGAGCCAAAGTTGCGGTACCGCAGCGCTGCTTTAATATTAAAAGATGGTTGTTTGGGTCCTCCCACGCGTGGTTGGGTTGGAGTTGCATTAATAACGTCCTGGCTGTGAGCCAGTGGTCGTGGTGGTGGTGAGGGTCATGTCACACACAGTTCCTGAATGTGCGTGAATGGATAGATGGTCCAGAAAAGGTTTAGCTAGGATTTGGATAGAGAAGTGAGAATATCACTGTTGCTTCTTGGCTAAATTCAGGTTTGTGGCTACTTTTATGTGCCGCTGTCGCTGCCCTAGACCTTAACGGGGTCTCTGGCAAGCCCAGGCGCCTTCCCAGGAGGGATCTCCCCATCTCCTGGGCACCAGCTGACAAGGTGATGGGACCATCCCATCTGGTGACGGGTCGCCTAGCCCAAAGGACGAGGACGGGGTGGTCCAACCGCAGCCCTCACAGATGTAGACGAGATACCGTTAGCGGCAGGAGCGTCAGCGGTGCCACACCAACAGTGTCACTCTGAGGCCACCGATGTCCCCAGACCGTGTACAGCAGGCAAAGGGGTGTCACTGTATAATCCACACTTCTGCGCCAACTACGTCCATCCTGCAGACCTTGGGTGGCCTCCAGAGGACCGGGATGGAGGCGGACAGGGCTCAGGAGGATCGTCGGAGGTGTCAGACCAATGTAACCTACCCCGGACGCCCATCGCACGGTTTTACGGAGCATCACGGGATCTTAACCCACAGGAGGAGAATTATTTCTGCTGGATGTGTGGGTCATCCGGACGATGCACGCGACCCCGCTTCCCCGAGGACCATGGTGAGATACGGATGGGAGGGTCGCTGGCTGATGGTGACATGGGTGGAGGCTCAGCTCAGAGCTGATCCAGGGACGGGGCAAGAAGGTAAAGGAGGTGCCTGGGGACCACGTTTCTATGATAGAAAGGACCATCGGAAGAGGGGTGCACGGGAGCCAATGCCAAGCCCATTCCGTGCGCTCGCAATAATACACGTTATTTAGTAAATAGGTTCGTGGTTTACTCCAAAACATATATACAGGTATTCCTCCCCCCCCCCCATCCTTGCTGATTCCAGCAGGGAAGACAAAGACCCTGCACTTCCCACACGCCAGCGGCTGTTTCTTCTGTGCTTTTCTTTCTAGATCTAGGAAGGTCTGAGCTTTTTCTCCATCCCGTCTCTTTTTTTCCCCCCCAGGAACTTAATCCTTTTTCTTCCCCGCGTCACCGCTGATGCTCAGCGGGGCTGAGCACGGGGCCGCGTTCTCCTCCGTCAAGACGTCGTGATGGATTGCAAGAGCCGAGTTCTCCTGGAAGCTTTTCCCACCCTGCCGGCGTTTGCAGAGTCCATCCGCTCCGTGCACTCGCTGGTGCACCGCAAGGTTGGATTTCCTACCGAACCGCTTCCCGCACGCCGGGCACAGGTAGGGCTTCTCCCCGGTGTGGGTTCGCCGATGCGCGATGAGGTCCGTGCTCTGCCCGAAGCTCTTCCCGCACTCGTGGCACCTGTAGGGCTTCTCTCCCGCGTGCTGTCGTTGATGCCTGACGAGGCTGGAGCTGTTGCTGAAGACCTTCCCGCACTCGGGGCACTTGTAGGGTCTTTCCCCCGTATGGAAACGCTGGTGGGCAACGAGGTCCCCGCTCAGCCCGAAGCTTTTCCCGCACTCGGAACACTGATACGGTCTCTCCCCCGTGTGCAACCTCTCGTGTCTCACGAGCGTGGAGCGACCCTTGAAGCATTTCCCACACTCGGAGCAGCGGTAGGGCTTTTCGCCGGTGTGGGTCCGCTGGTGGACAGCCAGGTCTGCCCTGTGGCCAAAGTTTTTCCCGCACTCTTGGCACGGGAAAGGCTTCTCGCCCGCGTGCCTCCTCTGATGGGTAAAAAGGTTCGACCGATGGTTGAAGCTCTTCCCGCACTCGGAGCAAGCGAAGGGTTTCTCCCCGGTGTGGATTCTCTGATGGACCGTAAGGTCCGATTTGCGGGTGAACCTCTTCTCGCACTCGTGGCACTCGTAGGGCTTCTCCCCCGTGTGCAGCATCTCGTGCCTGATGAGGGTCGACCGGGCTTTGAACCGTTTCTCGCACCTGGGGCACTTGTAGACCTTTTCCCTGGCGTGCAATTCCTGGTGCAGAGCGAGCTTCCCGCTCTGCCCGAACCTTTTCCCACACTGGCAGCATCTAAACGCCCTGTCCCCCGCGTGCGTCTCCTGATGCTCGAGGAAATCCAGGTCGTTCCCAAAGCTTTTCTTGCACTCGCGGCACCTCAAGGGCTTTTTCTCGGTGTGCAGCCGCCGATGCTTCGCGAGGTTAGATCTGTCGCTGAAGAACTTCTCGCACCCGCAGCATTTGTAAGGCTTTTCTCCGGTGTGTGTCCTTCGGTGCACAACGAGGTTTGAGCTCTGCCTGAAGCTTTTCCCGCACTCGGTGCATATATATTTCTTTTCTCGGGCGAGGGCTCTGTCCGGGGCGGTGGGTTCCTTGAGGACTTTGCAGTTTCCTTCACGGTGCACAAAGGTGCTCGCGTCCTTCCCTGGGTATCCTTGCAGCCCGTGGGCATTTACACCCGCTTCTCTCCGCTGGAAACTCCCAGAAAAATTTCCTTCTGAGTTTACGGATGACGAGCTGCTCATTGCGGGGCATCCCTGCTGGGGACTCTTCTCATTCTCGCTCTCCATCCCGTGTCCTGCTGGGTTAGAAGTAATAATATCGCTTACGAGCAGAAACACGGCATGGCAGAAAGGGAAAAGACAGAAGAGAAAGCACCTCGTGGATGGGACCCTGGGGCGCAGCTCTCACCTCTGCAAGGGTCTCCCGGGGTCTCCGGCTCCTCCCTTGGTTGGGGATCACCTTCCCGCGCTCCTTCCCATCGCTCCATCCCCTCGGCTCGGTCTGGGTCCGGAGCGGGTGTCGGAAGCGAGCAGGGTCACTGCCCTCCTTGGGGAAAAACTGCTTGTCCGGGGGGGAGAGGAAGAATAAATATATGATAAACCCTTCTCATGCACGAGACGCTGCCACGTTCTAACTCTCCACGTCGCTGTACCCACCGGAGAAATAGCATTTGGGACAATTAAGGGGTGGATTTATCACAGCGGCAGGAAATCCGGGAGCAATTCGACCCGGAGGGCACCCCCGGACCGTCCCCGTGCTCGAGGCAGAGCCGGCACCATCGCTTTGCTCAGAGCCGTGTCCAGGCGAGGGTTGGACATCTCCAAGGACGGAGACACCCCCACACACACCCCCCACACCCCCCACCCGATAATCTGGGGGGTCTCACCACCCACATGATGATTTTATTTATTC